AAAAATAAATAAATCCACCTGCCGTTTGCAATCTACAGCTCGTAAGTTTGCCGATTGCCGATGCATACACGATCTAAGCGCATGCGTGCTCACGCACGCGGTGAGCGCGGTCTTATATGATTATGAATATACAGCAGGTGAGAGAGAACGAGAGAGAATGGTCCAGGTAGGAGCGTGGGGGAGCGGATCGAGTTGTCCAACCAGCGGGATGGTAGCCGCGGACTGCCCACCTCGGCCCATTGGCCGGGTTTGCGAGCCCGCTATCGTATTATCGCCAAGACTTGCCGTTACGATACATCGGCGGCCGACCGATCTATCGCGCGCGTTCTCGAACCTGTCTGCGTGCCACGCACCTGCGATCGATCGCGCGCGACTATCCGCCGCTCGATCGCGTCGCTCGCGGAGACGAAGCCACGAAGCAATGCGTGAAGGCGCGCGTGCAGCCGAGCGGGTGCTTATTAATGCGAAACGCGTGACGCCCACCTCGTATGAAAATCGGAATGATCCGTGGCGTAATTGGTAATTATGGTAATCCTCTAAGGTAATTTTATGGAAAGTCCGTAAAAATTTAACGGAACTCGTGCAGAGATCGTAGATTAACGGCGAGGAAAAATCGTGAAACTATAATATATGATAAAACTGCGCAATCATCGGCTAGATAAGCGATGTATCTGAAACTATATTAATCTGAAAATATAGAGTTAAAAAAAACAGCCGTAGGCAAAGACATTCCATTAAAAATTATGTTTCGTTGCGTACAATTAGTGTAACAATTAGCCTTTTCATATCAAACGCTAGTTTTTTCTTTGTAAATATGTTACAAAAGATCAATTGACTTACATCTTGAAATAAAGAAAACTTATAATATATCAACCTTATAGATCTCGTCTACACAGTTTTAATATTTACGGAATAATTATTATATGCACATTGGCACAGATCTCGCACCTCCTCCCTTTTCAGAATAAAACGGCATATATATGCGCAACAGTTAGTTAAATGACACGCTTCTTTCAGTATTTTACCCTACAATTGAAGGAGAACGTTATCGTAATTTACAATAAATTTCATCTTAAGTGATACCAGAAGCTGAACTATCTGATAATTTTACGATCCACCATATTGTTCTTTCACATTGTAACGAAAATCGACAGTATATCGCGTTCAGCACTTCGAAGAAGTGCACGAGTCGTCCAGGGACATACGATTGCTCGGTAAGAACGTGGAACCAACTCCGTATATATCCTGAGAGGGAAGAAACGCAGGCAACGGTTGCCGGAGGACGACGAGGGCGACGGAAGACGAAGAGGACGAGGGGGCTCCTGCCGACTTACAAATTATACGCTCTCAACGAGATTTACGGGTGACGCTTTGAGCGAGACCATTGTCCATCCTCGCTCACTTCTTTACCTCTTTACTCCTCCACTTGGTCGTCTTTGTCCCTTCGTGAATCGCCCATCTTCTTTCGGTTCCTCCGCAAGTCCCTTCGTTCCCAGAGGACCGCGTGAGAAGGACGAAAGGACGCGGTAGCGCGCGAGTAGAAGGGAACCAGAGGAAGATAGAGCAGTATTCGTCGCGAAAAAACCGAAGAATGCCGATCGACGAAAGGGAATCCGGTTCCAATCGGATAATCGGAGCTCTGGGTCCTCGCGGGCCCTACGAGGATTCGCGAGAAGAACGTAATGCGCGACTCGATGACGAACGGTCGTACGAGCGACTGATTTATGATATCCGCAATATTTTTGGAGCAGGAATAACATTCCGTAGGAATAAGGATCGCAGAAATGACATTTCGTCGATTCTGTAGAAATATTTATGGATTTTGTCATTTAATTTAAAGAATTTAAGTCAATGTGCTTAATACTCCAATAAATTCATATCAAAGCAATGCGTATTAATTGATGAATACTCTGATGAAATAACAAAGAATTTATATATTGCATACTCACAGAACTCATTATCAAAATAAACATATAATATACAATAAGTATGTTATTTTTAATAATGTCGAAATGTCATGACAAAGAAATAAATCTTCCAACTTGGAGATATAATCTTGCAGTGCATAATATTGGTCTAATAGATTTATAAGATTTACAGATTGAATTTTGTGGCAGTGGTATGCGCCGCGATAACTACTGAAGTGGATAAAACGGTGCGACACGTGTCTTCATGCGCGATAGTAGCCGCAGATTAACTCGCAGATGATGAACGAAGCACGCAGAAAGAAAGAGCGAAGAGTTTCCAGTCTGACCGTTAAGTACCTGTTATCGAAACACAAACCGTCATCCTCCTAATATATTTATCAAACACGCCGTGAACGACGGGTGCGACAGGTAAGCGAGCCAGAAAGCAACAAGGTGCGGACTCACAGTATCGTCAGGATACAGAAATCCGCCTTAAATCGGAAACAAATATTTAACCAGTCTCAAGAGGGATCTTTATCCTCATTCCTGCGAAAAAGCTTCCTTCGTCCCGTTATAAATATGTACTCACAAAAATATTTCATTCTTAATTATAAAAAAAATTTATATATATATATGATTAATTTAATAATCGCTTAATAATCTTAACCCTTCGGTATTACTCTTGTTTTCTCACGTATCTGCCAGACTTTTCACTATTGTGAAAAATATCGCGTAAAAATAAATGTATTATAATAAATTTTTTTCAATCAAAACACCAGGTATCAAGGAATATAACGATAACAAATAACATATCTTCATTAATAAACAGATTATAGCATAGCAAAATAAAAAAAAATCTTGAGTATATTACATTAAGATTGGCATCGAAGTTAATTACGTAATAATTAATTTTATAATGGGTATTTCAGTATATAATTGAATTAATTTCATCTTGTTGATATATGCAGTTCACACTACGCTAGATACGATATAGTCCGTCTCCGGATGCTGTAATCCCGAGTGACACGGGCACGATAACGTTCTATCACCATGCAAACATTTACATAACAAAGTGAAGTACACAGCAAAATGTCATGTTACCGAGTAATTTATTATTACTCGTCGAGATAATTAGGATTCAACCGTAGCTACTGAATGTTGTCACGTTTTGCATTACAATAATTACTACTTTTATTACTTCGATATTTTAGTACTTCCTCTATTTAATAATATTCCTCTATTCAATATTTCTTCTATCAATTGACGTTATCAGCGTAGTTTAGAAATAAATTAGAATAGATTATAGCTTAATAAGTGGCAAAAATAAATTTTCTTGTAATGGAAAATTTCTGGTTGAAAATGGATTCTTTCTTATCATATCAATCAAAATTTCTCGTAATCGTAAAGATAACCAGATGTTCAATTATGATATATGACCGAAATGTTTATTGATATAATCAGAATCTACTGTTCGTTTATTTTCCAGAAATTTTTCTTAATGTGAAGTCAGAAATAAAGATATATTTAAAGAAGCGTTTTGCATCATCAATAATGAGCGATTTACGTAGCACAAAATGAAGTCATAAATCTCAAGACAGAGCTTGCTTATAAGAGCACGGATAACTACCAAAGGAGGATTTATAGCGCCATTACTCATCTTACGTGCGTGTAACGCGCGACGTAATTGATAACCCAGATGACGCACCTCGAAACTGGAGCACTCGTTAGTTCTTCACGTTCACCAAGTATTGGCGTTAAAATGCAACCAAAGCGACAATCTCGTACCCATATAAGTGTAATATCATAGCAGCGCTTGTGTCATGATTAAATATAAGTATACAATTGAGAATATAACAATCAATATTAGCGTCAAATATAAGAACGATTTGTCAAGAAGAGTAGAATACGGAAGCTTAGTTGAGTAAAGAAGAAAAAAGTGTAGTGAATAAATCTATGATGCTAATGAAATCGTAAAAAGCTTGCGATTGTGTGTGTTCGTTGAAATAAGTAAGATTTAAATTATGCAAAAAATATTTGTTCTATATTCTCATATTCTTATTTAAACATGGAGAAAACTACTATGTTGTATAAATGACTTATGTCTTTTTAACTCTCGTTTTTATACTACCATGTGTACCAGTGCCAAGGACGTGACAAGTTCTTCTCTCTTTATCTTATTTTTGAGAAACTTTGACAAGGGAAGCGAAAACGTTATTATTCCTATCGCAGACAACCGTCACTGCTGGTTAAGATAATCATTAAGATAATTTTTATTTTAAAATACTAGAGTTAAAAATACTAGAGTGAGAAATGTTTTGAATTCATAAGTTCTAGAGGATTTCACAAAAGTCTATGAACCGGATGTGATGAAATTTTTATTTGTGTGTGTGTGTGTGTGTGTGTGTATTCATCTGCTTTTTATATGTGTACATAATGTGTGTCTGTGTAACACATTACTTGTAATTAAATATAATTTCTCGAACATTAATCGAAAGATTATTTATAATATATTATTTATAATAGATACCTTCAATTAGACA